CACAGACAACCTCTCGTCAATATGCGTTTTTTGCATTGCATAGCTGCAAAAAACGCATAAAAACATCTTGACATCAGAATGAAACCCCAGGAACAGTAATGTTGGGTAGGGAGTTCAGGATGAATCTCGCGCATATTAATTCAGTTGCTCCAGTTTATTGCAGAAGCTCACGCTGATCCTTGGTGTGTGCCGCTCGCTGCTAATTTCATTACTTAATCGGTTTTTAAAGTTGGTTTTATATAATTAACACACTGCGCATGAAAAAATAACTAAAAATCGTTAAAGATCTTCTATGGACAGCGCCCGAAATTTTACGAGAAAACTCGAGAGGCAGCAAACAAGGCGACATATATAGTTTCGGAATAATTTGTTCCGAAATAGTTACCCGTCGAAGGGCCTGGGATTTAGACAATCGCAACGAAAGTGCTGAAGGTTGCATTAAACGTGTTTTTGCTCATAACATTAGCAGTTTCTGATATCTGGTGATGAATGAAAATACAGTAGCTGCATCAGTAGCGGCTGTTTTACTCTCGCTCTACAGCTCAGTTCTGGTTTAGAATTGTTAAGGCTCAAGTTTGAAGGAGCTTAGTTCCACAGCCAACAAGGCTACAACTCATACAGATGAACTACTCATATTATTTGCAGCTTCTTTCTTACGAACATAACATTTTTCAGAAATAATCTTTGCGGTCAAAAAAGGCAGCCAAGCAGTACCAGTGCGCCCGTCAATCGAAGAAACCAATTTGGAAATCAGGCCCTTACTGGTAAGTACGTTCATCTTAGCCGTTGAATTTGTCCAGGATGTCTACTGATTATCGCTGGATCCCGCAAATAATCGTTTAAAATTTGATGTCACTTAGAAGGTAGAATTTTCGAAAATTCATTGCAGCTGTCCCTCATCAGTGAATGCTGGTCAGAAGAGCCGGCGATGAGGCCAAGAATTTCGCGGATCAAGCAACAGCTGGAAATCATCAATGAGAGGAAGTATGACAGCAAATTTACTCATGTCTTCATTTGTTGTAATTGCTTCTTTCAAAAGAATATTCATGCGCTTAACTCCAAATTCCCCTTTCCTTCTACTTAAAAGTTTCCTGGACTCACTGCTGTAAATCAGTTAGGCTGTCTGCGGAGAACCCATTTTGTATTTTTTGGTTCGTCTGGTAACGAATACTAACTTATTAGGAAGGATTATGAAAATTCAGCTTCTTGTCTTGTCTGATTTCCAAAATCGCCTTCCTACCAAAAAAACTGCGGAAATTTTTTTTGGCTGCCGTGATTGGGACCTAGGTATATGCGAACGTTGATTTTAAACTGTGTGCATGGCACGTGGGCTAGGAACATCTCTATGAAGTTGCAGCTTCCTAGCTTCCGCCGTTGCTGAGTTGAAGTGAATGACAATAATCTGAAAACAAAACATGCCGATAACCTCTCGACAATGTACATTTGCATAAATATGCAGAAGCTTATAAGAAGCAAATGGACATCAAGGAGCGTGCTCTTCTCACAAGAAACTGATATGTGCGCTATTGTCCCCTGCATAATGCGCCTCCTCATTTACATAAATGTAAAATATGCATGCAGAGAAATTTGCAGGACATGCAATTTGATGGATCATATTTTCGACGTTTTGGAAGAATACACAGATTGTTTGGAAGGGAAAGTACATGACAGAACAAAGAAGCTGATTGCGGAGAAGAAACGAGCTGATTTTCTGCTTTACCGAATGCTTCCCAAGTCACAATTTGACGGATATTGTTGCCTACTATCATTCGAATATCAGCCAACGATTTTTCTACTGCTCTTTTGCGATTCATCGTGCTGGCGCATAATCAACACCTCCTACTCGCACACGCCGTTTTTATTACTTTTTTTGTTAAGGTGCACTCAAAACAGATCTGGTCAGTGGCGGAAGCAAGCGAAGCTTGCATTCCCAAAAATCAAAATGATGCGTAATTAAGATCGACCGCACAGCTGATGTGGGATTCCCATCTAAGTGATATTCATTTATAAAGTGAACTTTTTGCTAGATCCAGAAACTC